CATTCGGAAGTCACCAACGGGTCAATCAAATGGTGAGCAGACATTATGGAACACCTCAGGGATAGCGGATCTATATCGAAGGCATACTCAGCCATAAATGAAGTGAGAACTAACTGTGCGTTTTTCTCAGTCCTCTTCATTCTTATATGTCCCAGAGTGCTGATGGACGTTTACCGATAAGATTTACAACAATCGAGGGAAACTATTCGGCATCCGTCGTGTGCAGGCCATAACCAAATTTCCGAGGACTCCCTCTCCATCGACGAATGTTCACTGAGCACCAGAACTGAACTGAACGTTTGTTGTTACATGGAACTTTTCGTTCCCGATGTGCCTGCTTCAGGACAACTATAAAAACGAAAAATACGATTGCATGTGTCAACCAGCGTCTACGCTCAATTAATTCCAAAGACAACTGCATCGCCATCGTGGGCTAATACTCCCATCTTGCAAGTACCACGCTAAAAAAAACACCAAAATCGATAACACGACTGTGCCCGGACCTCCCAAGCCAGGCAAAATTCGACAGGCTTCTGTCCTCCGTATGGAATCACAGAGGCATTTTCCTTAAAATCGAATTCCAGATGAACATGGGTCTCGCCCTGCCCGATTGCCGTAGTATCTCTATTTAAAAATTGATTTAATGGTAGGGGGCGCTCACCGATCGTTCTTACGAAACTCACTCGTACCATGAGTGAGTTCCGTAAAATTGATTTAAATATTCCACTTCGTATCTGATGGTCTCGAGGGTTTACCGTACTTAAGCGGACACTGTCACAACTATTCCGATATTACTTGAAGCGTAAACTGTTGCCGATTGCGGTTTGAAACAGAGCTATGCTTTTTTTTGTCTTTCGCAGAGCTCAGACGAACGAAACTATCACGGCTTCTATCAGTTGCTGGCCGCCGTCAGTGACACGCAATGCCGCCGATCCTTCTCCTTCCTAGACCAACTGGACCTCTTCGTGGCCAATGACAACTCGGACATCGTCAGTCGATACAATTTTGTGAATCAGGGTGGCTGTGGTCAGGTTGATGGCATCGATGACGTGGAGGAATTCAAGGAGACTGTCAGGTCTATGGAGAGTTTGGGTGAGTCATCCCTTAAATAAACTGAAATTCCTACCGTTCAGTTGGACTTTGACCTCATTCAAAACAGTCGAACGCTGTTCATTTTATGAAAGGAAAATAGTCAGGTTTATATATTAAAGGCAGGCTCGACCGGTGGGTTAGTGAAGAAAAAAATAAGTTACCTTAGAAAGGCCTGTCAAAAGAAGCCCTAACAGAAACAGGGAGAAATCAGTAACTGCGGAAATTTCTCTACTTCTAAACCAACAGGTCGCGAGTTCGAAGCTCGGGTGTTCCACACTTCGGGCTTGGGTATGGCTGGCTTACGACGACTAATAAGCCAGAAATGGCCATTCCAGTCTCCCTTTTCTTTGCCGGTAATACCATCCTGCCTATGTATCATGCGCCGCTGTGCGGCTGCTGGTTGGGCTTGAGAGAAAGCCCTTAAGGCACAACGAAACGAGTGAGTTCCGTATGAACGATCGGTGAGCGCCCCCTAGCATTGTATATTCCCGAACGAAAATCGACAGGGCAACGGGCTCGTGGCCCGGTGGGTAGAGGCGTGGACTTCTAAACCAACAGGTCGCGAGTTCGAGGCTCGGGTGTATCACACTTCGGGCTTGGGTATGGCTGGCTGACGACGGCTAATAAGGCAGAAATGGCCATTCCAGTCTCCCTTGTCTTTGTCGGTAATACTATTTTGCCTAAATATCAATTTTATATTGCGGTCTAACCATATCCTCTTATGTCTTCTACCGCTAACTGGCCAGCAAGTAAGTGAGAGCTGATTACCTAAACTGGTTTTATTTGCTTTCAGGCTTTAAAAACGAGGAGATTGAAGTTGTGTTCACAATCTTAGCAGCAATACTTCACTTTGGCAATGTGAACTATGAACAGACCTCAAACGAAGAGGCCTTCATAGCGGTACGTTAAATTTGCTCCCCGCCCTCCCTGTCTGGAATCCTACGTTTTGAAAATAAGTAATTTTTATCATATTCGGCAAGTTTTCATGCCTCTGCATCTCAGCACAGCAAGGTCCCGTATAATTATTTGTCATACTAACAAACAGTCATTAGCTAGAAGCCGAGACACAACTGTTTAGCCGATCTTGTGTCGCTACCTAAAGCATCTGCGAGGAGTTCTCCTCGTCAGTGGGCCCCCCAGTTCTCCCGTGTGTTTTCTGGTATATGAACTCCAGTTTAAACTTGCCTTGTTTAATTTCCGAGGGAATTAATACGCGAATGTGGAGTAAATCTTTCCGAACAGACCTTTTCGGGCACGGTGCAAAAGTTTATATAAATATTTACGCTGAAATTCATCAGCTACTTCGGAATAACTGCGTAATATTTACAAACCGTCAACCGGCAGCCAATAGAATAGAATTGTGAAATTACCTGCCGTACTAACAACACAAGCATTACCTAAAAGCTGGGAGACCCACTGATGAGCCGAACCCCTCGCAGCTACGCCAGATAGCGGCACAAGATCGGCAAAACACGCATGTTGGGGCTTTTTGCTAATACGTATGTTGTTAGTACGGTAAATACTTACACAATTTTATACTACTGGCTTCCTGTTAATGGGTTGTAAAATATTAAGCGGTTATTCCGCAGTAGTTGATGGATTTCAGCTTAAATCTTCATATCAAATTTCGGACCGTGCTTGAAAAGGTCTGTTCGAATGGTTTACTCCACGTTTGTGCATCAATTTCCTCCGAAATTAAACAAGACAGCAAGTTCCTGTCAGGAGACCCGATTTATCGTTATTCTTCGTTATTCTCACTTGCCACTGTTTTTTTTCGCTTTACCAAAGGAAGACGACGCACATTTCCAGAGTACTCTGCGACTACTGAAGTGCCCGCCAGCCGATTCCAGATCAGCCCTGTGTCATCGCGTGATTAAGACGGTGGATGGCGATTTGTCCAAACCCCTGACGCCGGATGAGGCGCGGGCAGCCAGGGACGCATTGGCAAAACACCTCTACCAGTGCATGTTCAAGTGGATTGTGAAACGGTGCAATCGCTCGCTGGCATTTCAGGATGGGAAACCTGCGACAAAGGGTAAAAGGGGTGCACTGGGACGCAAGGTGAGTGATGCTACTGACATTTAGGTAGTAGATGGGGTTTTCTGACCCAAGTATCCCGTGTGAATAAGGACGAACCTGTTTGGTATTTAAATACAATAATTTTATTTTAGGCACCAAACGACATTGAAAGTGGGCGAGATAACTTTATCGGCGTCCTTGATATCTACGGTTTTGAGACCTTCGAGGTCAACAGTTTCGAGCAGTTCTGCATTAATTATGCTAATGAGAAATTGCAACAGAGGTTTGTGTTTGTAAGTTTTCCTATCGTGACCTGCCTCTTACCAATAATTTCACAGAGTACACATCTTTCATTAGCAGCCCCTTTTCACTGATCTCCATCTGGCTTATATTTGCCCAGAAGGTACCGTCTTAGAAGTAGGCAAAACCATCTGATGTACTTGTGTCTACTATCCACAAATGAAGTGATCCGATATTTAAGAATCAGCATTCAGAGAGTTCCTCCACATACTGATGAAAGCCTTAAACATGACAGTAGAGGCCTGCCGTGCAGTTTTAGTTCTCATTAAAACTTCCAGTTTAAAGTCTTTAGAGGAGAAAACCTGATTCGTTGCCATCAGACCCTTGCGACTACTACTCTTAACATCCATCGAGTCTAGAATCCCTCAGGGCAGAACGAATCACTGCCTAACCCTCGGGAAGGACCCAAGAGTCGTCGGGCTTGATTTCTGTTTGTCGCCTTCTCCTGGATATACTGGAACCTGACTCAAAAGTATCCCAACTGTCTACAAACTCACAAGTGTTGTGCTGCTCATGATATGAAGCTAAAATTACACAATTCGGACTTATGTCTATAGATACTCCTGGGAAATAAGGATCGTTTAAGAGCCTGAAGTACTGCGTTGGGCTTGAGTGTGTGGCGTCTGGCCAATTATTTTAGTTCATATTTTCTCATTAAAAAATCGCTGTATTCTTCACACATTACTGTCGGTATTGTGATTCTCAGACGAATGCACCCGATGAAACCGTGAATTCTGACCTAATTTGGCATGAATGAACAAAAGCGCCGTTTCTGTGCCTTTGTGGTAAACTGCTTAGATATTTTTTAAATTTATCAATCGCTAATAACAGCTGCCAAGTGGTTTTGGACACTTAGGGCAGCAACTTCTGTCTGGCAGTTCTGTCCAGTATGTTAAATTACTGCGGGACAGATAGGTAGTAAGAGTCAAATACAAAAAATATTTTTGATCTTAATAAGTGTGTCTCGGTGGTATATGGAGTTGGGCTTTACGGTTACAATTAGGGTTGCGGATGAGTTAGGCTTGGCGCTACATATTTACATGAGTGTGAGATTAACCAACTAAATTACTGTGGGCCATATACAGCACGTGACCTATCTCATTAAATCTGATAACGGCAACTGATGAGAGAATTTTCTCCCTAAACACAAAATGGCATGTTTACGATCACGCCTGTCAGTTTTATTTTAATTTATTTGGCACCGACCGGTCCCATGGCGTGTCACCTTATGAAAACTTTTTCCTACGACGTCCCCATCAGTGAAATCAAGCAAAATCCAGTTTCTCTTGTTGAACACCATTTCATTTAACTCGAAAGAGTCTAGGATAACGCTAAACCTTAAAAACTGCTTTGGTATCTTCACTCAGAATGGAGGCAATTAACAAACCGTCATATATGAAATAACACTACTTATTAAACGATATTTAGATGTAAACTTCATTGAAACACTACTATTAGACGTTATTTTATTTTTACTTCCATACTTACTGCGTTTTTGGTATGAGAATACATTCTATACATCTAAAAACGGAGTTTACTAAATTAGAGCCATTTCTGAAGTTTTCGGAATATTGCGCTTTTCAAAATAAATCGGCATTTCTAAACAACGCAACACTGCCTTTAATATTTCTTTTATGTTTTTAATTCTGTTAAACTTTTACTTAATTAACATAGACGTTGGACTCTTAAGATGGTGTCGGTTTGCGAATGATTGGCAATCATTCGTAAATTTCGACACATTTCACGGGTTAGGTCACTAACTGTAAGTAGTATTGATCGCAGGTGCCCTCACAACGACTCACGCGGGAAACGCACTGGACAACCGCGGAGGCGAGATTAAGTCTGAGTTAATTTAACAGGAATGAACGAAAGCGCCGTTTCTGTGCCTTTGTCGTAAACAGCCTAGAGATTATTTAAATTTATTAACTGCTAATAACGCACACGTTAATCGAGCTGCGCACTCATAGCAGATGACACGCCTGTGCGCAGGTGCACGGCGCAGCATCCACTTGCTCCCAGTTTCCACATCTGATGGCTGACTGTCGCGGACAGTGAGCTGCTGCCTAGGACAGAGTGGGGTCGACTCTGCGGACTTCGTCTCCATGGCATCTCAGAGCATTTGCTCACTACAAACAATCCAACGCGCCTTTAAACTATCACGGGATGCCAAAAGCCGTGGCCTAGAAAGGCTAACAACTGACGGGATAACTCGGTCTTCTCAGGACATGCGTGCGTGGCATGCCTAGATTGACTGTTTAGCTTTGTCAGTCATTGTACCTAGTCCCGCCTCCGGTCGTTTTGATTCTATCTGTGCACCAGGATCAAGTGGGTGGGGGAGGAGAGAGTGCGGTAGATGCTGCACCGATCTACTATCATTACAAACGTATTCACGCGCAGGTCACTGTCCCTCTGCCTGCCATGTTCTGGGGCACACGGTGTTGATCGAACCACTTGCAAACAATACTTTTCTGGTCCTTTTAAATAGGCCCACAGCACTGACATGAAAACGAACAAACCGTAAGCAGGCGATAATAGTGCAGGGGAGTACATTGCGTGACCGATCTCATGAAATGTTGGCCAAAATTCTCAAATGCGTTTCCTACTAAGAAGGATTACTTAAATGGGGTTGTTGTAATGATTATCATGCAGCATAACCCTATAACATTTCGGACTTGCCAGGATGTTGGCTTTTAAATGCACTTCTTTTTGACCTCCTGCAGAAACTACACTCGGTAAAAAATGCCTACTTATATAGCATGCATTTTCCTATTGATTTTCGACAGTCTTATAAATTCAAATATATTTTACAGGAAACATGCACAAAAATATGCTTTCGTTTGTTCATTTGGTAGGAAATCACATTATCTTCATTTTTCATGTCCGATGAAAGTGTGTATTTGGGTTTTAAAAAATATTTCCGATTCCCAAATAATTTTCAGCCTGATCTGGCATTGTATCAGCGTTTAGCAATTTCAGTCTACAAGGTGCATGCTTTCCGCGTAAGGAAAATCATATATTCCTTCATGTCTTAAAAAAGATACCACATAGATTTGATGAAATTTTGCAATAGATCCGGACTGTCTTGTAGATTTCATGAGGAGCATTAGTAAACGGGCATGTGCGGTCTTGCATGCATAGACATCGCACGGTCTTAAAAGTCTCACAATTAGAAACTTTGTTAAAACCTAAATATACAATTTCTTCGGGCAAAAAATATGAAGACAATGTGAGTTCCTACCAAATGAGCAAAATAAAGCATATTTTTTGCATGTTTTCTATAAAATATATTTGAATTTATAAGACTGTCGAAAATCAATAAGAAAAATGCATGCTATAGAAGTAGTCATTTTTTACCGAGTGTAGTTTCTGCAGGAGGTCAAAAAGAAGTGCATTTAAAAGCCAACATCCTGGCAAGTCCGAAATGTTATAGGGTTATGCTGCATGATAATCATTACAACAACCCCATTTAAGTAATCCTTCTTAGTAGGAAACGCATTTGAGAATTTTGGCCAACGTCTCATGAGATCGGTCACGCACTGTAGGAAGGCTAACAACTGACGGGATAACTCAGTCTTCTCAGGACTTGCGTGCGTGGCATGCATGGATGGACTGTTTAGCTTTATTAGTCATTGCACCTAATCCCGTTCTGACCCTATCTTTGCACCAGGATCAAGTGGGTGGGGGAGGAGAGAGTGCGGTGGATGTTGCACCGATCTACTATCATTACAAACGTATTCACGCGCAGATCACTGTCCGCGTGCCAGCCATGATCTGGGCACACGATGATGATCGAACCACTTACCCACAATACTTTTCTTGTCAGATAGAATTTATGCTTTTCCATATTCTTGCACATTTTAGCATGTTTTCAAGCTGGAACAGGAGGAGTACTTGCGAGAAGGTCTGGAATGGGATTTCGTGGACTTCTACGACAATCAACCCTGTATCGATTTGATTGAAGGACCAATGGGTATACTGTCTCTGCTAAACGATGAATGCAAGGTCAGTAACTTGGTCAAGAGGCTCCAACAGAGGGAAAGATCACATGACTTCAGAGTTTTTATCAGTCTTTTTGGGGATAATAAGATGGCGGCTGGTGGAATTTCGGAAGCATCATCGAGTCTAACCGAGTACTCCGAGTTTTATAGTAGCCCCTAAGAATAAAAACGCGTCAGTTGTAGTTTTACCACCTTCAAAGTGA